ACGAATGGAATGAGCGAATCGCGTAGGTCTCAAAATAATTTGTTTCTGAAAATCAAGGAATCGATTCCGTGCCTGCTCGCCACAGCGACATGAACCTTTCGGCTGGGCCCTTCGATGCGATCAGCGGCGTCCAAATTACGGGGCTGTGGAGCCTCCTCTACTCGGTGGGGGTCCCTCGGGGGGTCACAGCTCCCTGTGGGGGGTGCGGGGGGGAAGGGGACTTATCCCTGTTGGTGGTGGTGGTGGTGCTTGGCTGAGAGCTGTGGTGGTTTGACTTGTGTTAGGCCTCACACGCCAGGCCTCTAGGAGACTTACTGAGTCTGTTACTGTCAGCGCTGTGCCGTCCAACTTTTGTTGTGATTCGGTGCAGTTGCAGAGATGCTGTCAGAGGCTCTCCCAAAGGCCGTGCCGCGTCGAATGTTCGTGTTCACCATACTTCACCACGCTGGTCAATGCGTGTGAAGCGGGGTGGGGGGTGGCTGTCAAGTTGTGTTTAATTTTGTTTCCTGTACCTTTGCCCTCGGCGTCCTACAATGTAGACCTAGGCAAGCCTGTTACACCTGTTTGATGCATGTTACAAATGTGACTTGTGCCACCGCCGCCCAACGCGTCTGTCGCAAAGACATTCAGCTATTTTTATCTTCTTGACTTAAAACTTTCGGGACTGCAGGAATTAACGTATTAATGTATTTTAAATTTCATACTTAACTTGCAATTTAGCAATCTTTGAAATAGCGTAATCAACCAGACTATGCGTTAATTTTGTTTTGATCGACCGTCTGTGTTGCTTTATATGGTTTCCAAATTTTGCTAAACCCTGTTTGTTTGGTGTGCTTCTCTGTGTCCCCTGTTGTATCTGTGTTAGTTCCCCCTACTTGGGTGTCTGTATATACATCTGGGGTTATGTGTTTCCTATCTCTCGTAAATTTAGCTCTTCTGTAGCTGATGGTGGCTGCTTGTGTTGCAACCGAAACGTCGTACGCCATTATGTTATTTTATTATTTCTTATTTATACGTGACTTTACCGAAAAACACACAAAGAGTCTTTCGGTAAAGTCACGTCGGTGGAAAAATAATCGGTCACGACGTTTCGATCGCAACACAAGCAGTCGTCATCAGGTGGGACAACCACAGCAAAAAATAAATGTTGAAGTAGATAGGTTCCAAGAAATAACAAAAAAACTACGACCGCTTATGTTGCGATGGAAACGTAGTTTTTTTTGTTATTTTAACCTATCTACGTGACTTTACCGAAAGACCCAAAGAATATTTAAAAATGCAGTTTATAATGCGCATATTTCACGGACTTAAACGACCTCAACTCTGAGGCGTGGAGCCAAGCTCCGTGTAGCTTTAATGTCAGGCGAAAGAGGTGGGGTTCTTTAAGTTTCAATTGTGTAGGTTCAACACTGGATGGCGTTCCAGACGGTGGAGGCTGGTCCCGGTCCTCGTTATAACGAGGAGGTTATATTCTCAATATGTTTATGATGACAAGTGGTTCGCCCACCCGAACACGATCCAGGGTCTAGCTTCCAAGGGCGTGTTGACACGAATCGCAGCAATTGCGGTTTGTAATCGTGTGTGTGTGGTGATGTGATACTGTTGGCCCGCATGTCTGCTACAGGATTGTTGTCTGTTGGATGCCCCTCCTAATACGTGCTGTATAAGGCATTGTGTTTATACTGTACTTAAAAACCACCTGTATATACATTTTCTCGGATGTTCTTAACACTTGATAAGTCCGTGTGTATATAGCGCATAGACGTGACTGAATCTCAGGATGTACCAAACGGGATCTATTTGTTATAGAGCGTTCAAGCTTAGCTTTAAAAAATGTAAAGGTTTTGAGTCCACAGCATAGACGTCTGGTCTAAAAATAGTTTACAGTCAGATTGGTGCCAAGCAAGGCCGTAATTATAATAAATATCGGGGGGGACATCCCCCCCCCCCATATTCAAATGTGCTCAAAATGTCCCCCCCCCCCCCCAATATATTGCTATAAAATAGATTTCTGTGGTTTTCACACCTGATGATGATTGCTTGTGTTGCAATCGAAACGTGGTGAGAATTTTATTTTTTATTTGTATTATTTCCCTTCTACGTGACTTTACCGAAAGAACCAAGAATATGAATCCCTGCAGTCACGAAAGCTTTAAATCGGAAAATAAAATTGTGGTTGTGGTTGTACTTTATAAATCCCTAATCTCTGCCATTACATACAATGAAACAAGAAAATGTAAAAAAGAAAAACAGAGCAACAATACACTATTAGACATTGTAAAAAATAAATAAAAAGTTCATCTTATGTGTTAGTTTTAATATTTTACGCAGGAAATGGCAGGAAATTCGTTTTCAAATTCAGATTTTTTTTTTCTGGGGGAGACCCCCAGACCCCCTGGAAGATTTGGTCCACCCCAATGTTGACTCCATGGCTACAGCCTTGGTGCCAAGGTTTTTGATCCATGGCATAGTGGGCAGAATGCCTCCTTTAAAGTGTCTTGTTAATGTTGACCAAATGTATATCGTTTGTTGTATGGAAGTGTTAGAAAGGAACAGTCTTGTATTGTGCCTGTACCAAACCTTGGATCAATTATAGATCTTAATTCGTTATGAATTGCGTTTGCGATGTACATAATTGTAATTTAAGCTTACAATGCTATTTGGAATTTTATTAGAATTTACCACGGGTAAATTTTATGAACACAGTCTTAATATATTAATACGTTGGGTTTTTTACATGATGACAGCCCATTGAGACATCTTTTGCAATGGAGTTTGAGGTTCAAAACGAAAGCTATCTGCATAAAATGCTCGGCGTTGACAATCGTAAACAATTTCAAATAATCTTGCGTGCTATATACTGCAGGGTCATAGTTTTTTCCCTCTCCTTTTGCAAAGATCGATTGGACTGAATCATGGCTGTGGGGTCTGATCGCCTTCCATGGCCTCTGTCTTCTGGTGACGTACCTTACACGAAAACTTCAAACTGCTCAAATCGTGTATTTTTTTCTGCTATGTAAGTTGACACTGCACCAACTTTATTGTGGCAATGCAGACACATACATCTTACATGTGCATCTCACAATGTGTATGCTGATATTTTCTGTACAGCATTCACCAAATGCCATACGAACTACGTTCCGTATCCCAGCACTGCCAGGTATTTATGCCCCCTGGGGTATTATGACGACTGTACACAGCGTCCACATGATACGCACCCCCCATTCTATAAATGATGGTGTTTAGGTCTTTAGGGCAGGTATGTTCCCCAGCATGGGCTGTTATTGTTGGCCAACATCACGTGCTGGTTTGGTACGTGTGTATTGGCTGCTGCACATGGATCAGTAATTAATTTAGAAGAATTACTACTTATCCTTCAACGCTTTTTAATAAGACTTATGTTGGGGCATTTGTCAGCTGCTGGTTGTTGACCCTCCTGGGTCGAGTCTGGTGCTGACCGGTTGGTCACTACATAATATGGCTTGTTGACGGCTGTCCTAAGGAAACCTAGGCTTACGACCATAGGCTGCCCGACACACTCCTATCTTGTGGTGTGCCGAAGGAGGCATTTCTGTCCTTTTAGTTTAACTTCTGAGGCACCACTGGACGCCTTCCTCCTGTGCAGCATCATATCTTGTCTTTGTTATGTTCAGGGAAAGAGTATATGGTGGAGGTCACTTGGGGGGGGGGGGTAGGGCTCTGTGTAGTGATAATGTCCCGGCAGTGAAAGGGTTGGTTGATTTCTTACGGTGCTGAGATACGGAGCCTTGTTTGTATGGAATGGAGAGTTGATTGCTGCCTACAGAAACCCAGCTCAACGTCGGAATACTACACACAAGTCATTGATTTTACTGATTGTGTAACAATGTCCATTTGTTGCAGTGCTGTTGACGTACTCTGCAGAGTACATCAATGAAGTAGCAGCAATGAACTGGAGGTTTGTATGCAAATCCAAATCTTTGTTGATGCAAATAGTGTGGAGGTACTTTGATTCCAAATTAAAGGAATCCATTTCAGTAGTGTATTTTGCTTAACTGTTTAAAAACTTGAACACTGTCATGCATGAATTATAAAGAGTAAGAAACAACTGGTATAGTATTATTTCAGGAATAAAATTAATACCCCCAAATGCATTGAAAATGTTTAATATAATTGTTTAGCAATCATATAGCAGTTCCACAAAAGTGGGCATGATCCCTGCGAGAGTTAAATACAATAGTCGACATTGCCACTAGTATTTGCATTGCATATTATACCAAATTAAGTATTCACGGTAAACTGGTTTATGTGTGCGTGTGTGTCTTTCTTCCTCCCAGGTCATTCGCAAAGTACCAGTATTTTGATTCCCAGGGGTTGTTTATCTCTGTTGTTTTCTCCACTCCATTGCTACTAAATGCGATGATTATTGTGGTAAGGAGTAACACGCATTATTATGTAAATTGCCATTATGAATGAATATCTCAAGGTTAAAGTAATTTAATGGGAAATTCCATCGCAAACACTAAATGTCTTGATGGTTTCTGTGCACATCTAGGTGATGTGGATTTGCCAAATGTCCAGTGTGATGGCAAAAATCAAGGCAGAAAAGATTAAGAAGCAACTCGAGAAGGAGAAAAATAAAAAGACAGATTGATGCTCAAGCCGAATGAAAGAGTGACCGTTACGTTCATGACTCACTACTGTGCACCACCTCCCGTGTGCTGTGTTGAGCACTTTTCCAAGCCGACATTTTTTTTTTCCCTTTGATTAAAAGAGTGTAAACTAGTTCTTTAGTGGCATTCTCCAAGAGTAAGGTTTTAACTGAAAATATGTTATTTTATTTGGCTCTAAAAAATGGAGCATTTATAAATGTCTCACTTATGGTGGTAATTGTTATGAATGGTAGTTGGTTAAAAAAATACTGTTTTCTTACAGAGCGTTTCATCATTGTCTTGTTAAATATTCTGTAAAGTGTATTTCTGTACTTTTGATAAGGTTTTTTTTTCTCCAAATGTTATCTGTTTTTTTTCTCATTGTAATTTTTGAAGGGTCGGGGCCACGTGTTTAAACATGCATTAGCAAAATGCCATTTCCAGATTTTTCAATCTCAGCGTTGTCGACTGTTCATCATTTTCATTAAAGTTATGTTGTACATACATCAAATATATTACATTTGAATGTGCCTTGTGTGGATTCCTACCTTTGGGCTCTAATTAATGAAAACTATCGCAGATTTACCCCCAAACTACTGCCAATTTACCACAAGCGACTGTATTGCAAACCGACCATAAAGGGTCCCTCACCATATGCTATGCCTCCGCCCCATCTCACGAACTCTTCCCTAGCTACCCCCCACAGGGAAGGGTGGCAGGGGGGCAATTTGGGGATATGGCGGATGGTTGCTTTAAGTTTTTTGTAATACATTTGCGGCAATTGTGACCGCTTCCTTTAATCGAGGGTCGCGTCCCTTTCATGTGCAGTGGTGGCTCTTGTGCCTCACAGCAGGAAGGGCCTGGATTCGATTCCCGACTTGGGTGCCTTTCCGTGTAGAGTTTTTTTTTTATGTTCGCCCCCGTGTCCTGGATGGATTTCTTTTGGGTTATCCAGTTTCTTCCCGTTGCTATAAACAATAGATGAACGTGACTGGTGCTAGCCAAACAACCCAGTGCTGACAATGTATTAAATTGGGATTACATAGTGCGTCTGCGCCCTGCTGCAAAAACTTGACGGGACTCTCCTGAAAGATAAATATATTTAGACTCCGTGATGGTCTCCTGGGAAAACGAGTGGAATTTAAATAACGATAATGTCGGCGGCCTCTGGCAACCTGATTGTAGCGCCTGTGGCAACCTGATTGTAGCGACTGTGGCAACCTGATTGTAGCGCCTGTGGCAACCTGATTGTAGCGACTGTGGCAACCTGATTGTAGCGACTGTGGCAACCTGATTGTAGCGCCTGTGGCAACCTGATTGTAGCGACTGTGGCAACCTGATTGTAGCGCCTGTGGCAAGCTGATTGTAGCGACTTTGGCAACCTGATTGTAGCGCCTGTGGCAACCTGATTGTAGCGACTGTGGCAACCTGATTGTAGCGACTGTGGCAACCTGATTGTAGCGACTGTGGCAACGTGATTGTAGTGACTGTGGCAACCTGATTGTAGCGCCTGTGGCAAGCTGATTGTAGCGACTGTGGCAGCCTGATTGTAGCGCCTGTGGCAACCTGATTGTAGCGCCTGTGGCAACCTGATTGTAGTGACTGTGCAGTTTGATTGTAGTGACTGTGGCAACCTGATTGTAGCGACTGTGGCAACCTGATTGTAGCGACTGTGGCAACCTGATTGTAGCGACTGTGGCAACCTGATTGTAGCGACTGTGGCAACCTGATTGTAGCGCCTGTGGCAGCCTGATTGTAGTGACTGTGGCAACCTGATTGTAGCGACTGTGGCAACCTGATTGTAGCGACTGTGGCAACCTGATTGTAGCGACTGTGGCAACCTGATTGTAGCGACTGTGGCAACCTGATTGTAGTGACTGTGGCAACCTGATTGTAGCGACTGTGGCAACCTGATTGTAGTGACTGTGGTAACCTGATTGTAGTGACTGTGGCAACCTGATTGTAGCGACTGTGGCAACCTGATTGTAGTGACTGTGGCAACCTGATTGTAGCGACTGTGGCAACCTGATTGTAGTGACTGTGGTAACCTGATTGTAGCGACTGTGGTAACCTGATTGTAGTGACTGTGGTAACCTGATTGTAGCGACTGTGGCAACCTGATTGTAGCGCCTGTGGCAGCCTGATTGTAGTGACTGTGGCAACCTGATTGTAGCGACTGTGGCAACCTGATTGTAGCGACTGTGGCAACCTGATTGTAGTGACTGTGGCAACCTGATTGTAGCGACTGTGGCAACGTGATTGTAGTGACTGTGGTAACCTGATTGTAGCGACTGTGGCAACCTGATTGTAGCGACTGTGGCAACCTGATTGTAGTGACTGTGGTAACCTGATTGTAGCGACTGTGGCAACCTGATTGTAGCGACTGTGGCAACCTGATTGTAGCGACTGTGGCAACCTGATTGTAGCGACTGTGGCAACCTGATTGTAGTGACTGTGGTAACCTGATTTTAGCGACTGTGGTAACCTGATTGTAGTGACTGTGGCAACCTGATTGTAGTGACTGTGGAGGGCTTCTCGGTGCTTCTCCCGACATGTGTGCTGACACTATTGACTAGTATGTCAGTAGTTACTAGTGACTAGTCATGTGTGGTGTGTAATATATAGATAGTAGACACTACTGACTAGTATGTCAATAGTGACTAGTCACTAGTCATGTGTGGTGTGTAATATATAGATAGTAGACACTACTGACTAGTATGTCAGTAGTTACTAGTGACTAGTCATGTGTGGTGTGTAATATATAGATAGTAGACATTACTGACTAGTATGTCAGTAGTGACTAGTGACTAGTCATGTGTGGTGTGTAATATATAGATAGTAGACACTACTGACTAGTATGTCATTAGTTACTAGTCACTAGTCATGTGTGGTGTGTAATATATATAGAGTAGTCACTACTGACTAATGTGTGAGTAGTTACTAGTCATGTGTGGTGTGTAATATATATAGTAGACACTACTGACTAGTATGTCAATAGTTACTAGTCACTAGTCATGTGTGGTGTGTAATATAGATAGTAGACACTACTGACTAGTATGTCAGTAGTTACTAGTCACTAGTCATGTGTGGTGTGTAATATAGATAGTAGACACTACTGACTAGTGTGTCAGTAGTTACTAGTCACTAGTCATGTGTGGTGTGTAATATATATAGTAGACACTACTGACTAGTGTGTCAGTAGTTACTAGTCACTAGTCACGTGTGGTGTGTAATATATATATACAGTAGACATTACTAACTAGTATGTCAATAGTTACTAGTCACTAGTCATGTGTGGTGTGTAATATATATAGTAGTCACTACTGACTAGTATGTCAGTAATTACTAGTCACTAGTCATGTGTGGTGTGTAATATATAGAGAGTAGTCACCTCTGACTAGTGTGTCAGTAGATACTAGTCACTAGTCATGTGTGGTGTGTAATATATATATAGTAGACACTACTGACTAGTATGTCAGTAGTTACTAGTCACTAGTCATGTGTGGTGTGTAATATATATAGTAGACAGTACTGACTAGTATGTCAGTAGTTACTAGTCACTAGTCATGTGTGGTGTGTAATATAGATAGTAGACACTACTGACTAGTGTGTCTGTAGTTACTAGTCTCTAGTCATGTGTGGTGTGTAATATATATAGTAGACACTACTGACTAGTATGTCAATAGTTACTAGTGACTAGTCATGTGTGGTGTGTAATATATATAGTAGACACTACTGACTAGTATGTCAATAGTTAATAGTCACTAGTCATGTGTGGTGTGTAATATATAGATAGTAGACACTACTGACTAGTATGTCAATAGTTACTAGTCACTAGTCATGTGTGGTGTGTAACATATAGATAGTAGACACTACTGACTAGTGTGTCAGTATGCGACTAATCACTAGTCATGTGTGGTGTGTAATATATAGTAGACACTACTGACTAGTGTGTCAGTAGTGACTAGTCACTAGTCATGTGTGGTGTGTAATATAGATAGTAGACACTACTGACTAGTGTGTCAGTAGTGACTAGTCACTAGTCATGTGTGGTGTGTAATATATAGTAGACACTACTGCCTAGTGTGTCAGTAGTGACTAGTCACTAGTCATGTGTGGTGTGTAATATAGATAGTAGACACTACTGACTAGTATGTCAGTAGTTACTAGTGACTAGTCATGTGTGGTGTGTAATATATAGATAGTAGACACTACTGACTAGTGTGTCAGTGGTTACTAGTCACTAGTCATGTGTGGTGTGTAATATATATAGTAGACACTACTGACTAGTATGTCAGTAGATTCTAGTCACTAGTCATGTGTGGTGTGTAATATATAGATAGTAGTCACTACTGACTAGTGTGTCAGTAGATACTAGTCACTAGTCATGTGTGGTGTGTAATATATATAGTAGACACTACTGACTAGTATGTCAATAGTTACTAGTCACTAGTCATGTGTGGTGTGTAATATAGATAGTAGACACTACTGACTAGTGTGTCAGTAGTTACTAGTCACTAGTCATGTGTGGTGTGTAATATAGATAGTAGACACTACTGACTAGTGTGTCAGTAGTTACTAGTCACTAGTCATGTGTGGTGTGTAATATATATAGTAGACAGTACTGACTAGTATGTCAGTAGTTACTAGTCACTAGTCATGTGTGGTGTGTAATATAGATAGTGGACACTACTGACTAGTGTGTCTGTAGTTACTAGTCTCTAGTCATGTGTGGTGTGTAATATATATAGTAGACACTACTGACTAGTATGTCAATAGTTACTAGTGACTAGTCATGTGTGGTGTGTAATATATATAGTAGACACTACTGACTAGTATGTCAATAGTTAATAGTCACTAGTCATGTGTGGTGTGTAATATATAGATAGTAGACACTACTGACTAGTATGTCAATAGTTACTAGTCACTAGTCATGTGTGGTGTGTAACATATAGATAGTAGACACTACTGACTAGTGTGTCAGTATGCGACTAATCACTAGTCATGTGTGGTGTGTAATATATAGTAGACACTACTGACTAGTGTGTCAGTAGTGACTAGTCACTAGTCATGTGTGGTGTGTAATATAGATAGTAGACACTACTGACTAGTGTGTCAGTAGTGACTAGTCACTAGTCATGTGTGGTGTGTAATATATAGTAGACACTACTGACTAGTGTGTCAGTAGTGACTAGTCACTAGTCATGTGTGGTGTGTAATATAGATAGTAGACACTACTGACTAGTATGTCAGTAGTTACTAGTGACTAGTCATGTGTGGTGTGTAATATATAGATAGTAGACACTACTGACTAGTGTGTCAGTGGTTACTAGTCACTAGTCATGTGTGGTGTGTAATATATATATAGTAGACACTACTGACTAGTATGTCAGTAGATTCTAGTCACTAGTCATGTGTGGTGTGTAATATATAGATAGTAGTCACTACTGACTAGTGTGTCAGTAGATACTAGTCACTAGTCATGTGTGGTGTGTAATATATATAGTAGACACTACTGACTAGTATGTCAATAGTTACTAGTCACTAGTCATGTGTGGTGTGTAATATAGATAGTAGACACTACTGACTAGTGTGTCAGTAGTTACTAGTCACTAGTCATGTGTGGTGTGTAATATAGATAGTAGACACTACTGACTAGTGTGTCAGTAGTTACTAGTCACTAGTCATGTGTGGTGTGTAATATATATAGTAGACAGTACTGACTAGTATGTCAGTAGTTACTAGTCACTAGTCATGTGTGGTGTGTAATATAGATAGTAGACACTACTGACTAGTGTGTCTGTAGTTACTAGTCTCTAGTCATGTGTGGTGTGTAATATATATAGTAGACACTACTGACTAGTATGTCAATAGTTACTAGTGACTAGTCATGTGTGGTGTGTAATATATATAGTAGACACTACTGACTAGTATGTCAATAGTTAATAGTCACTAGTCATGTGTGGTGTGTAATATATAGATAGTAGACACTACTGACTAGTATGTCAATAGTTACTAGTCACTAGTCATGTGTGGTGTGTAACATATAGATAGTAGACACTACTGACTAGTGTGTCAGTATGCGACTAATCACTAGTCATGTGTGGTGTGTAATATATAGTAGACACTACTGACTAGTGTGTCAGTAGTGACTAGTCACTAGTCATGTGTGGTGTGTAATATAGATAGTAGACACTACTGACTAGTGTGTCAGTAGTGACTAGTCACTAGTCATGTGTGGTGTGTAATATATAGTAGACACTACTGACTAGTGTGTCAGTAGTGACTAGTCACTAGTCATGTGTGGTGTGTAATATAGATAGTAGACACTACTGACTAGTATGTCAGTAGTTACTAGTGACTAGTCATGTGTGGTGTGTAATATATAGATAGTAGACACTACTGACTAGTGTGTCAGTGGTTACTAGTCACTAGTCATGTGTGGTGTGTAATATATATAGTAGACACTACTGACTAGTATGTCAGTAGATTCTAGTCACTAGTCATGTGTGGTGTGTAATATATAGATAGTAGTCACTACTGACTAGTGTGTCAGTAGATACTAGTCACTAGTCATGTGTGGTGTGTAATATATAGTAGACACTACTGACTAGTATGTCAATAGTTACTAGTCACTAGTCATGTGTGGTGTGTAATATAGATAGTAGACACTACTGACTAGTGTGTCAGTAGTTACTAGTCACTAGTCATGTGTGGTGTGTAATATAGATAGTAGACACTACTGACTAGTATGTCAGTAGTTACTAGTCACTAGTCATGTGTGGTGTGTAATATATATAGTAGACACTACTGACTAGTATGTCAGTAGTGACTAGTCACTAGTCATGTGTGGTGTGTAATATATAGATAGTAGACACTACTGACTAGTGTGTCAGTAGTGACTAGTCACTAGTCATGTGTGGTGTGTAATATATAGAGAGTGGACACTACTGACTAGTGTGTCAGTAGTTACTAGTCATGTGTGGTGTGTAATATATATAGTAGACACTACTGACTAGTATGTCAGAAATGACTAGTCACTAGTCATGTGTGGTGTGTAATATATATAGTAGACTCTACTGACTAGTGTGTCAGTAGTTACTAGTCACTAGTCATGTGTGGTGTGTAATATAGATAGTAGACACTACTGACTAGTATGTCAATAGTTACTAGTGACTAGTCATGTGTGGTGTGTAATATAGATAGTAGAAACTACTGACTAGTGTGTCAGTAGTTACTAGTCACTAGTCATGTGTGGTGTGTAATATATATAGTAGACACTACTGACTAGTATGTCAGTAGTTACTAGTCACTAGTCATGTGTGGTGTGTAATATATAGTAGACACTACTGACTAGTGTGTCAGTAGTTACTAGTCACTAGTCATGTGTGGTGTGTAATATATAGAGAGTAGTCACTACTGACTAGTGTGTCAGTAGATACTAGTCATATGTGGTGTGTAATATATACAGTAGACACTACTGACTAATGTGTCAGTAGTGACTAGTCACTAGTCATATGTTGTGTGTAATATATATACAGTAGACACTACTGACTAGTATGTCAGTAGTTACTAGTCACTAGTCATGTGTGGTGTGTAATATATATAGTAGACACTACTGACTAGTATGTCAATAGTTAATAGTCACTAGTCATGTGTGGTGTGTAATATATAGATAGTAGACACTACTGACT